GGGGGAGCTCTGGTCCTTACATCGAGCATCCATTCCTGGCTCCAGTGGAGAAGACATGTGCTGTTTAACCTCCAGGAGAAGCTTGTCATGCTGGCTTTCTGGCTTGTACTCAGCTGTTCTTATTGTCAGAGGAGCTTGGGGCCTGCGTGTCATTGAGGATAGCTGTGGTACTTTTCAGGGGAGTCCGAGTCCTTACTTTGAGGGTGACTTCTTGGCCCCAGTGCAGAACCCTCAACCTACCAGCATAGCTTCTTCACCCTGCTGGCATGTACTTTCTAGCTTCCACCGCTTGGGCTTTTGGGCCTTCCCTGTGCAGAACCATAAAACAGACTGGCGTGAGTCCTTCTCGTGGGCTTTAGACCTCCAGTTGGACTTGTTGGAGGCACTGTCATGGGCTCTAAGTTTTCATCTGGACTCATGCAGGACATTTCTGTGGGATCCACGCCCTGGGCTTAATATTCTGAGTCTTTAGAGTTATGGACAGATTTCTTGTGTTAAACTCTGGGTGACCATTATAAAATAATATTGTAAATTCTGTGTTGTGATTCTAATTGTTCTCCTCACAACCTCTGACTACAATACCTTTGAAGCCCTCATTTCAAGAAACTGATTATTTATTCCAAAATTCCATTTTTAACATTGCCAATCGTCCTCTTAAACTCATGTGTTGGTTGCTTTTTTCTCTCAGGACAACACTGAAATCCATATTTTCCCAAGAGCTGACCCCTCTGCTCTCCTCTCTCCCTCCTAATCCCTCAGTGCTACTCCTTAACTACAAATGAGCTGACCCTGTTTCTGCCAAACGAAACCACCACTCCTCCACCGGCCATGAGAGCAGCTAGATGAAAGCAAATGAGTCTTCCCACAGCTAAGGCTGTGCCATGACTCTCAACTGTGGCCCAGTGCTAGTTCACATAAGGAAACAATACAGTGCCCCTTTTCCACATGTGGGCCACAGCATTCTAAAAAGTAAAAATCTAAACTAGGGCAGTGAAGCTTATCTCATCCTGACCTGATGACACCACTTTGGGGAAATGAAAACTTAGACAAAGCTTAGCTCAACTCATCAGGTGAAGCTGACTTGTCCTTGTTGGTCCTATTGCCCACCCCTTCCCAGGGGTTTCCTAGGCCCAGAGCCCTGTAGAGAACTGAACACCCCTGGCTGGGCCACTCTGGGGCTCCTAACCCAGGTGTGTTGTGGCTAGAGGCAGTAAGCTCTCACTTTAGACCTTCAAAGGGCTGGTTATCTTGTTCAGTTAGCTGTGGGTCTTCTCTGACCTAACAGGTCTTGGGCCATTTTCTCAGGATGATAGCCCTGGGAGCAGGATGTTCACTGTGGAACCCTCTGCTCGTTAAGCCTTCCCGGGGCATGAGAATAATTAAGTTCTGGGAATCACCTTCCCTCTGTGCCAGTGTGCACTGAAGTCTATGGCAGAGTTTTTGTTCCAGAAACTTCCATCTTTTGATGCTATGGTTGGTGTCTAGCTGTCCCCCCAAAGCCTCATGTGCTCATAGTGGGGACTTTTCAGAGGTGACTGGATACAGGGCATGCAATGCTGGGATCAAGGGTGTGATGCTGAGATCACTGAATTAGTCCACTGGTTGGTTTGGCTTAGTTCTGAGTAGGATCAAGGGTGTCCTGCCCAGGATGTGAGTGTAAGGGCTGAAAGCACAAGGGACAGAAAGAAGGTCTTTGTGGTTTGCTTGCTTGCTTTTGCTGCCTTCTGCCTGCCATGGACTGTTTCTCCTCTGCCATCTCACCCTGCCTTGGAGACAGCCAGCTATGAACTGAAACCTCTACAACTCTGAGCAAAATACACCTTCCCTCCTTTAACTGTAGGTGTTGAATATTTTGTTTCAATAATAAGAAAAATAGCTAAGACAGCTGATTATAAAATATACAGTTATTTAGACAGCCAAGAAGAAGCCACAGCACCCGTTAAATCCAGACACCCCTGGGCCTTTCACCTCATCCCACAGCCCCATCATTACTCTGCTCTCCAACAAAGCATTTAGGATGGGGAAAGTAACTGGTCTCTGTTGTCCTAACAGTTTCAAATTATTGAAAGTTTACTTTTTGTTACAACCCAGAATTCTGACATTTAAAAAATCCAGCTGAGGTCCTAGATCCCTTGGCTGAAGAGTCCAGCTGAAGACCTAAAGCCCATAGAAATGCCCCCCATAAGTCCAACTGGAAGTCTAGCACCCATGGCAATGTCTCATGTGAGTTTTTCCAAAATCTGGGAAAAGAAGGCTTTTCCCACTCTTCTTTCAATGTAGGCACTTCCAAAATGTGAGTGAAATTTTGTTTTGACTTTGCAACCTGGTACTAGAAAAATAGCTGAAGTGTTGCTTTCCACCTAAAATATGGTACCATGGGGCTCTCACGGCATGGCCATCAGTATGCGTCTTCCATTGTATTTTTAAACTTTGAGTCACACAAATTTCTTTGAAAGTCAGTCTAAGGCTCTTCAGTCTCGGTGTTGTAGTCAGGATTTGCAAAGAGAGCAAGACAATACAGGACAATAATTTATAGTGTTATTTATAATAGTCACCCAAAGAGTCAAACACAAAAAAAGTGCAGGAAATCTGTCCACATACTGAAGACCCAAAGAATCCAGGTCTGAATCCCTTGGCAATGTGCTGCATGAGTCCAGCTGAAGACCTAGAGCCCATGGCAATGCCCCCGACAAGTCCAACTGGAAGTCTAGCGCCCATGACAGTGTCTCATGTGAGTTTTTTAAAAATCTGCACTGGGAGGCCCCAAAGTTAGTGGCAGAAGCTAGAGAGTCTGTGTGGGTATGGTAAAGGATCTGTGCTAGCGGGCTGAGAGATGTGCACTAAAGCCATGAAGCAACACTCAAAGTGAAAGCCAGAGCTTCCCCCAACAGTACCTCAGCCATCCTCAGTGCCAGCAAAGTCCTGAACTCCTTGGATAATAAGAACAGCCGAATTCATATCAGGAAGCCAGCGTGACAAGCTTCTCCTGGAGACTGAAGAGCACACATCTTCCCCTCTGGAGCCAGGAAGTGATGCTCAAAGTAAGGACCAGAGCTCCCCCAAAGTGAACCACAGCCACTCTCAATGACAAGGTTCTGAGCTCCTCTGATGATTACAGCCAAGTTCATATCAAGAAAGAAGCTCGGCAGCTCCTCTAGGTGAACCAAGGGCAACAGGAAAACCAACACTACCACAGAGAACACACTAAACTCTTCCTCTCCAGTTCTCCTTTTTATGCTGGCAACCTTTCTCAGGTGGGCCCTCCACACTCAGCACTATGCGGATTCAGCTCAGCTGGTGTTACAAGCTGACCACCAGTTATCAATCCACCATACTAAGTAATAGAAAAGACACATACGCACACGCACACGCGCGCACACACACACACACACACACACACACACACACCTGCTGATGGCATGGGAAGAGAGGCACCAAAGGGCCTTCCCAGAGAACATAATATCCTGGAGACACAAACATGAATACCTTTGGGGCAGAAAAGTATAAATTGGTGAAGACTTAGGAATGTCCAAGCTCACCAGAAAAGCAGCAGACTGTTAGGCAGGGCGCAGTTCCTGGTCAGCTGCACAAGATAAGAAGAATTGTCTCATGAGCTCACTGTGCATCTGTAATATTTTCTTTGGTGGAATGGGCAATTTTTTCAACTTGTTTATTCTATGGATTTTTTTGGGGGGGGACTAACCTGAGATAAGCAGGATTTCATTGTTTTCTCCTAGCTGATTTAAAGTTTATGTTTTACATTTAGCTCTACAATACATTCAAAATTAATTTTTGTACAAGGGGCAGGGACTGAGTTTGAGTTCAGCGTGCACAGTGACTCTGCTGACCTAAAGACCAATACCCCGATGTTACCATTGCCAGCGTGTGCCGTTGTCTCCAGTCTGTGGGCTGTGGGCATGGAGGAAGTGCTAAGCCAGGCATGTGGACTAGGAAGATGCTTATGGGATGGGGGTCTGTGAGAACACAGGGACAGGACTGTTCTGGGACCCAGAGCCCAGCAGGTGCAGTCTGAGGACACCTGAGCACCAAGGGCAGAGGTCACTGGCACTTGCTGGGTGTGGGGTGCAGGGCCTCTGAGAGCACAGGGTCCAGGAGAAAGACCATGCAGGGCCATTTCAAGGACCCTGGCCCCTGTCTGGGGGGTGGGAGCCAGGAGAGCATGAACCCCCAGGGGTGGCCTAGAGTCCCCTGTCTGTGAGAAGCCAGATGTCTGGGAAAGGGGATGGCGACCTCTCCCCTCTGAGTCTGGGGCACTTTGGATCCAGGCACTGCACCTGCAGAGACCACAGGCCATTGCCAGTTGGGCGCTGACCCAGGCTTTTCATTATTTCCGCACTGGGACTTGAACCCTGAGGCCTGCACCAAACTACATGTCTGGCTCTTTTTACTTTAGACCCAGGGTCTAGTGCAGGCCCTGTGGTACTCAGGCCAGACTCTAACTTGCCACCTCCTGCCTGGGCCTCCCAAAGTGCTGGGTCATGGGTGTGCTGGGATCGCCCACCCAGGGCTGTGGTCACAGGGTGCGGTCCAAAGGAGCCTCACAGCAGGTATTTTTCGGACTCTTTGGTGCTGTCAGAGCTGGGTCCTCAGTTTAGGCTCAAGGCTGCCTTACTTAAGCCTCCAAGGATGGAGCCGGCCCTTTGACGGGGGAGAGCAGCACGCTCCACCAGCCAGGAGCCTGGCTGGGGTGGGCGGAGCCAAGGTCCGGGGTGGGGCCTCGAGCGCCGAGGGGCGGGGCCAATGTTGCCTGGGGCGGGGCCGCGGGTTCTCGGGAGCGGGGCCAGTGCCCTGGGCGGGGCCGCGGTAGTCTAGGGACTGGGGGCCACGGCCTGGGGCGGGGCCGAAGCTGCCTGGGGCGGGGCCAGGGCGTGGGGCGGGGCGGGGCGGGGCTGCGCGGCTGGGGGCGGGGCCGCGGATACCTTAGTGCGGGCCGAGCGGTGCTGGGCTTTAGGCAACTAGGTCTGCCTGTCGCAGGTAAGTCGTGGCTGGTGCTCCCACCTCTTTGGGCGAGGGTCCCCACGCCTCTCCAGGGGTCGAAGCGCGGACCCGCGTGTGCGATCGCTTGGACGCCGAGCTCAGAACAGACGGCCCGGGACGCGTGGCTCCGCGGGGTGAGCTTCTGGGCGGGGCGGGTGGTCCTTCTTGTCTCCCCAACCGGGATGGAGCCTGGGACACAGGGAGGCCCGGGTGTGCGAGAGCGAGGGGCTGGGGCCGTCGGGGCGAAGTGGTGCCTGCGTCACCCGGCCTCTCCCTCCCTCGCTCTCCCGCAACCCTTTGCCCCGGCCACTCCAGGACCTTGGTGGCCCCGTGTTTTCTGTGAAGGATGCGGGGTACTGGCCATCCCTTCCGGAAAGACTTCAGGTCACTGTCGTCCCTCCGATGGCACCAGCCGCCCAGCCCCGCGTGCCCAGGGTCCCACGCCGATCGCTGCAGGGCTAGAGAGGTTAGGAAGCAGCCTCGGGTCACCGCGGAACGGTAGCGCTGGATCCTGGGGTCTTCGGGTCGCTGCCATAGGACCTCAGTGTTCAGACAGTGCACTCTTCCTGCTACGAGGTGTGATGCTGGCAGCACCAGTGCCGGGTCTGACCCGAGTCCTACCCAGCAGCTCAGCCCTCTGCACAGAGCGCCTTCCTGGCAGACGTGTGGTCACAGAGGCGCTGCTAACATTGCCAGACCCAGCCCTTCTCCAGGTGGATCCGAGGCTAGGAATTGGGGGCATGGGGACCTCGTATCAGGGTTCCTAGCTGTGGACTGGGTTCTGGCCCTAGAACACCTCTGAGGTCCTGCCAAGCCCATGGATTAGCTTCGGGGGTCCCAGGGAGCCCCTTAATTGTCCTGTGACATCTTCAAAATCAAAGAACTGGCTTTCTTAAAGGGACCTGGAGCCCCTTGGAACCTTTAAAACTCAGATCCTGCTCTCTAGGGTAGGAATCGTTGCTTTAGGGGAGACTGGATTCCAGCGCTCACTCTCAGCTCCCGGGTTGCACAGCCAGACACACCCAGCCCCACCCGGGCCTCTGGGCAGAGCTGGACCGTCCGGCTCTGTCTGGCGTGGTGCAAGGCGCTCCCTCCCTGGGCTTAGCTCTGGAGAGACGCCTTGAGGACGGTATGAACGGTGCAAGCCGTGTGTCTGCAACTAATCCTCAGTGAAACGCACTACTGCGGTCACAGCGCAGCTTCCCTGTGCTTTTTCTTTCCACAAGGTGAGATTCAGTCCACACACAGGTGCTTCCAGGAGAGCAGGTGTAGATGTGGGCGCCGTGGTCCGCGGATCCCTGGCCCCCCTTGGCTCCCTGTGTTGCAATGGCTGGGGCAGCCAGGAAGGCAGGAAGGCTTCCCAAGTGGTCAGCAGGGTGTCCCGCCTGACGTGTGGGCTCCATTTCTGGGTGCCGGTGACCTGTGCTGCTGGCCTGTGCCTGCACAGGAGGGTGTGGGCAGGTCCACTGTAAGCAGGGCTCAGTCCAGGTCACAGGGCGGAGCAGGCTAAACATCAACCCGGGAGTTCCAGCGCACACCGGTCTGGAGGGTCCCCAGTGGAAGGCACTGACCTGGAGCACATGCTGAGAGCGCACTGAGGTGGGGAGAGGAAAACACCCTGTGCCCACTCTGCCCAGCCCTGGCCGTGACAGGACATTGGTGACCACCCCCTAACCTCTGAGCTGTGGTGTGCTCAAGCAGAACTTGTGATCTCACCATCGATGCACGTTATTTGGAGCTGACTACATCTTCAAGGGCACTGGCAGTGCAGTGCAGGGAAAGACTTGGTTACCTATAAAACCCTCTCTGCTGGGCGCAGCGGGCACATGGCCAAGGCAAAGCCCTCACCTGGCTCCTTTTCTGGAGTAGACAGGTGATGCTCACCTGGACTCAAGTGGAGAAGGGCTTTATGACTTCTACTCAGGCACCAGGAAGCAGACCAAGAGGTCTGAGCCATCCTCTTGGTTGAGCTTGAAGTTAAGAGTGCGTGGATTTCTGCCTGGCCCTACTCGGGAAAACCCCACATTCCTACATTTGCAGGATAGGGTCTCAGCCTTTCTTTCCAGCTGCCTGGATGTGTGAAAGAGATATTAAAAATTTGTTCATTATTTTGGGACACCAGAATGTAAACTGAAAACTTTGGGAAAAACTTGTTCCTTTGTATTATTATTTTTCAAACCCCCCTTTTAAATTTGGGTGAATTTGCCTAGAAATTCTAACTTGATCATGCATGTGTTACCAGGCTTGCAGACTCTGTACAAATGTGCTGAACCGTTGAGTACCTGGAGTTTCCTGTTGTAAGTTTTGTTCCCTCACGTGGATTTCCAAGAAAGGACGCTTTTGCAGTAACCCCTACAGGGCAAGGGACATTGCCACCTGGCACTCAGGCACCAGCAGTCAGCAAAAGAACTCAGTTCAGGAATTGGGCACCGTTGCGGAGAGGCCAGGCCAGGCTGCTGGTTATGAGGCCCTGGTCAGGCTGGGCACTACCATTCACTCTGGCCTTGAATGCCTGGCTCATGAAGAACTTTGGGGTAGTTGTTCTTTCTTTGGTCACTCATACCTTCTTTACCTCAGAAATTTTTCTCTAATCAACTGACTTAAGTACTTCATCAATCATTCTGTGCAGGAAGCATGCAGAAGGGAGATTGAGGTTCCTTAGTCATTAGTGTGAGTGTCTTTGAGGATCCAGTGTGGACTCCTCTGGGGATCCATCCTTTCTGGGTTCTGATTCCTGCAGCTAGTGTAAAACCCAGGTGTCTGGATTTCAATAGCCTCTGCAGTGACACTAAGGTGTCACTCCCATGCATAGAGGCTGAGGAATGTGTTGTGTCGTGTGTCCGCTCTGTCCAAGCTTATCTACCACTAGCTGGTCAAGTTTCTGAACAAAACCAAACCTGAGTCACTCCTTTCTTTAACTGACCTTTCCACTGTTGCTATTTTTCTTTGATACATAAAATAGAGACTTGGACTAGATTTATATAAATGCCCATGCTGTGCCTTGATTTGATACTTTTCTGTGTGTGTGAGTGTGTGTGTGTGTGTGATACAAATCTGGGTTGTTCTAAGTGTTCTATCAGCGTGGGTTCAGGTGACACTTTGAAATGACAATCTGTTGAGTTCTGTGAAATCCTTCAACTCTGGGATATCGGAGCAGCCACTTGTTAAAATTATCACTTTCATGTGTTAAGAAGCACTATGGCTAGATGAATTCGGGATGAGGAAGATGAGAGGGTTTCACTGATGGGGCCATGAGGAAAGCTTCCCTGTCCTTTCTACCTTCGCACTAACCTGGGAGTGAGCTGCCAGCAGGACTATTCAGTCCTCCTCTGATGCTGACCCCTCGGGCAACCCCCTACATCTTCCCAGGCAGGAAGCCCTCCCCCTGCCCAGGGGACCCTCATCCCTTCCCCAAGGGACATCCGGTTCCATGCTTGGCCGTCAGCCTCTGGGGGCAAGGGTTGGGGCCTTCGTGGGTCTCAGGCAGAACAGAGTTGGGCTCTTCAGGAACCCATGCAGGCAAATTGACCCCTTTCCTGGTGACTTTTGACAGAATTCCTGCACTGTGTCACCTTCTGTTTCTCTGTTCGTAATGTGAAAAACTTTAAAAATGTCTGCTTTGGGAAACACGATGGGATTGGTTCCAATACTTTTTTCAAAATGTAAGATCGGAAGGAGTTTTAACAGCATTGTCATTCTCGTACTTGTTAAGGGAAAGAGTGACCTGGTTCTGGGTGGTGTCCCCAGCCCAGAGGGCACGGAGACTCAGGTCATTCCTCTTCCTCCAGGGGTACCTGAGGGGAGTGTGTGGCACATTGCTTGTGCATTTTGATTTCCTATTTATCGAACAGAGATATTGATCCAAGAGCGCCACCTTCCCTTCCCTGGGAGATCACGGTGATGGTCCAGGCACACACTTCTCTTGAATAGTTAATGTCTGTCGCTTGGAGGAGAAAATTATTTTTCACCTTCTGCGCTGATGTGTAGAGAACATGTGTTCTGAGTAGCTGCTCTTTCGCTGCCTCTTTTTCCAGTTGAGGTGCAACATAAACTATTTTAATTAATATTGTGTCACCAAAAGGGATTGAAATAGCCAATTGAATTCTGCCAAGATAGAGTCTTTTGATGAAAACATATCTTTATTGATTGTGGATGAAGAAAATCATTCTTAAAATGAAATCCAGAGAAAAATCATATCCCTCAGAGAAAATTTCTGAGTGGCAGGCCAAGATTAACATCCTAAAATTGAATTTGTGCCGCTGCCTTTGATGTAATCAGCAGCTGGGAGATGGAAGTGGCCGGGCTGCCTCCCTCTGACTGTGGAGAGCTGTGGTCTGGAATGAAATCGGTGTTTCTGGTGTCCCTGCTGGTGTCCCTGCTCCAGAAGAGCCAGTGAGGTATCTTCAGCCCAGGAGCTCCTTGCTGGTTAGAGGCTCTGGGTCAAAGGCAGCTGTCGGGCTCCCCTCCCATGCTCATTAGCCATGGCAGGTGGGTATTTCTGCACCCCATACAGTGATCCTTGTGTCCTGGATGGTGACTTCTCTGGTCCATAGGAACCCAGCAGGAACAAGAGGGACAAGTTGCCTGGGTCTGTGCTCCAGATAGCCCACAAAGTGCCAGTTGTCTTTGATTTCTGCTGGCTTCTTGGTCCTATCTAGCCGTCTCCTGAACCCTCAGCCATCTCCTAGGATACGTAGGGCATTAAAATCAGCTCCAAGTGAAGCGTCTGGTTCCATGACACCCGGTTAAGGTGGGCTTTGGAAACACTGCGGCCCAGGCCTGGCCTGCACAGTCCATGGGTAATGAGCAAGGTTTGCAGACTGAGTAGAGGAGATCCATGTGTAAATTTGCCCTACCACTCAGGAGCAATTGGCACCTGGCCACAGCTGTGGTCAGACCTTTCTGTTGGTTTGGCTTGTTTGGCCTCCTCTGAAGCAATGGGCATCTGCCTGTGCAAGAACTGTAAGCAGCCCAGGGGCCCTGGAGGAGGGGTGGCCTTGAGGTCAGACACATGCAGGGGTGTGAGGGACCCTGTGGAGGCTGGGGTTCACCAAGCCACTTTTTCCTAATAATTCCGGAGAACACTGGTGTTAGCATACAGCAGTGCATGGTCCCGGCCTGAGGCTGGGAGAGG